AATATATATATATATTGGACTTTGAGCACAAAAAGCACAATAAGCAGTCTACTTATAAAAAAAAAAATGCTGGCTCACTTGTTCCTTATGTAACCATCTACTTCAAGCCCTTAGATTGTTCCATGTTCTAAGGCGGAGGTCTTCAACACGGGTGGCACATAGGGGTACTGCATGGGGGTCGCGAAAGTTTTGGTTGATTAGTCTTTTTTTTTATATTCCCCCTTTCAATTTTTCCACTTATTGAAATATCTTTAAATGCACATTAACATGAATTCAACACTCTGTAGTAAACAGATAAATGGAGGCAGAATCATCAATGCACACATTCAGCGACACGCAGGAGCTCTTTCAAGCTGGGCACCGTTTCATTTACAACACCTGTCCCATCAACCAGGAATCAGAATCAGAAATACTTTAATAATCCCAGGGTGAAATTACCTACGTTACGTTAATCCATCTGTAATAGAGTGACTATAGGCCCAGTTTGATATAACACAGTTCCAGACCATATTTATAATTAGGGGGTCCCTGCTCCATCTCGCCATCAGTTTGGGGCTCCTTGGCCTGGTAAACGTTGAAGACCTTTGTTCTAAAGAATATTGTCATGATTTGTTAATTAAGAAAAATAATGCAGACAGATAGGCTGCAGAGTCTGTAGTAGATGATTGTGTATCGTTACCCTCATGGTAAGTAGATGATATTCAATAAACGATAACCAAGAAAATAAAATATATGCATTAATGCAGGAGACAAGCAGAGGAACTTCAGGATGACTAATTAGGTAGAGCTAAGCACAGCTGCAGATAATGGAGATTGAATCACAGGTGAATGTAATCAACTAATTACCTGAAGGCTCTAGCTGAGGGAGAAATGTTTAAACAGGGACAATCAGAGGTGAGAATTTAGGTGAATTTCTCAATAATCTGAAATAATAGTTAGGAAGACTAAAGAAAAAAACAACCAAAAAACACTAAGAAATAATAAAGAGAAACAAACTAGAAAACATCTGCCAAAAAGCAAACAAACAGAACCAATATGGAAAAAAGCAAAACTATCAACATATGACAAGCCATTATGAACTAAATAGAACTTAATTTGCAGATGCTGACAAATACCTTCATACACAGAGGAGTTTCAGTCGCCTCAGTGAGCAGAGCAATCCCATCTCATCACCCCTTTCATGATGTTTGTGCCGATACTTAGTTTTTTGTCTGATTCAAATGTGTGACTGGGCAATAACCAATTTGTTCCTATCTTTACAAAATACATTGGGCCCAATGCAACAACTTTCTAGTAGTTTCTCCTACAATGGGGCTTTTATGAATGCGACACGTCAGATTCAACCAACATTCTTAACTTCAGTTCATGGTCGTAAATAATCCTCTAAAACCAGAGGCAAAATACAGTGTTTTTACAACTCTGACTGTCCAAACATCAACTTTACCACAAAACATTCTAACTAAGACCAGTAGAGACGGATGTACAGTAAATGCCAACGTTCTGCTAAGGACCCTTTAAGTACAGACACACCTGTACTGTACTTCTTCGGACCATGTCTGCCATTCCTTCATCGTACTCTCCATCTCTTGTACAACAAATAAAAAAATATATGAAATATTAACAGTGAAACTCTAATTTGACGAAGTCAGACAGATCCAAATATTCCACATTTGATGTAATAACAACGCCATGGAGCTTTGATGGAGTGAAATGAATGCAAGTTTCCCCTTTAGAGGAGTTTAGATAAACTTTCTATCCTTTTTCTGTTCTAGATGTTATTTCAAAAGTAGCTTGATCTCTGACTGTTCTTTCTTTTGACTACATGACAAAAAATTAAACCAGTGTCCATGGATACCTACACGCCAGCTGCAAGTATTGACCGTGCTCATGACTTTAGCCCAAACAGTGCCAACTCGCTGAAATTTCTCTTTCATGAACCGATCTGATCTGGAACAAATTCTGTTAAACTTTTTACTCCTGTTTTTATAGATTTAAAAAGCCTTGAGTTAAGAGTGGTTAAACCAAGTAGATTGCTCCAGGAAGCTCAGAGGCGTAAACAGTTTCAGGGGGCAATAGCTTCCTTAACATGTTTGAAAACAGTCTGAAATGTTTTCACTTGTAAATAATTGTTTGCTTAGTGAAATGATAAAAATCCAATGGATGAATGTCAAAAAATGACGGCCCTGCTTTACATACCAGGTATAAAAGCTCACAGTTAAACTAAATATTTGTTTTGATTAAAAGAATATGTTTTTCAAAGGAATTTACAATGTCTACACAAAATGGACTAAACCAGAATTTCACCATGGATCAGAGGAACTACTTAAAGTTTCCAAACCTGGGTGTTTTCTCTAGAAAGCTCAAATCATCCGGTAAAAGTTCAGGCTGCCTCGAAGTGCTGACTTTTCATTGTAAACATTCTCTGCCTGGTTCAGAGAGACATAACTTCCTAGCTTGCAAAACTGTCAAGACATTAAAGCCATTCTAAGCTTGAGATAAACATGTTTTCAGGTCAGGAAAAAAAGGTTTATATATATATATATGCCTTTTTCCCCCAAATTATGCAAAAACAAATTGATGCACAGTTTTTGCTAAAAGTCATTCAAAGTTTGCTTATTAGTTTAAATGTTCCATGTTTTTCATTAACTAAATAGAAACCAACATGTCAACAAGTATGAAACATGTGCTACTTAACCAGCTTGTTTTTAATTTTAGTGTTGATGAAAAAGTCTTACATAACTATCTAACAGCAAATACTAAACCACATCAGATTAAATAAAATGTAATAATTAATCTACTAATATGTACCAACATCAGTACTGACCTGCTTTTTCTGGGTGATAGAATTTTTTATCTGCTTCCATGATTTTGAGACATTTGATAATCATGTTAATTAGTTCAGTCACATTCCTGTCTGATGATTTTTCCAAAAATCTATCAGTTTGAGATGTTAAAAGGGATTCAGGCCCTGTCCATAATAAAATTATTGTTTAACAGAGAAGATATTTGTTTTGAAGTTCCTAAAGCCAAAAAAAGATTATTAGATAAAGTTTAATAACGCTTTTCAGTGCTGAGACTATCCATTGTGGACATGTATACGGTACTTAACATCTGGAGAAAAACAGAGGTGTACTGTAGCAGCCAGCTGGGTGTGCACTTAGCAGGTACATACCGGTAACTTAAATCTAAGAACTCTTTATATCAGACGTATATCAGCCGGTAACTTTGTAGAAACTGCTAATGCAATTCCTAATGTCTGAGAAGATATCAGATATAATTGCTATGGACGAATATATATATATATATA